AAAAGTAAGCTCAGTTATCTTTTCAGTTTTCCTACCAATGTTTACTTAAGACAGTAACCAATTTGTCTATGCCACAATGGGTGGCATTCATGGAGAAATCCAGATAATGTAGGGGAGGAAATATCTTTCTTATCTGTCTTAACTTCTAAGGTAGGGCTTTGTAAAAGAAGGCAGATTAAAAAGTGAAAAGCATACACATTTATTTAATCTAAGTTTTACATGGCATGGAAGCCATCTGGAAATGAACCAGTTTGGGTGGATGCTTATATACTAAGTTAAACAAAGAGCAGTAAATTGTGAAAACAAGTCAAAGGGATATGGGCTAGGGTTGTTAATTATGGAGAAGTGGCCAGGGAGATAAGAGCTAGTTTAACAAGGTTTATTTGCCATTTTCTGTCAACCTCAGCTGCCCCCATTTCTGGTGATAAGAATGTCTTCCTTCACTGAGCTTACTTTTGGGCCATGCGTCACCTGCTGTTCTTGCATCTGCTGTTTTTCAAGGACTTTTAATTCAAAATAATCCATATGCCAGAATGGCATATTTTGAGGTGGTATGTTTTGAACTCCTTTAGTAATATCTACTTGAGATCATCTGGGTGTCACCAAGCAGCATCAGGAATTATCTGAGTGAAGAATACAACTAGATGTTTTCCATTCTTTTTCAAAATCAGTCAACACTTTATAATGGCCTTTTTGAATCCCCCAGAGATTTATCCTTTAAAGGTATAGACAGAGTCACAAGCTTGGTTAAAGTAGCTTCTTTGGCATAATGATCTGCTAGAGAATTTCCTTTAGTTTTCATATTGTCTTTTTATGTGGACCTCTACCTATATAATAGCCACCTCTTTAGAAAGTGGGGGTGCATCTGAAAGTTACTTAACTTGCTGTCCATTTCTAATTTCTAATGCCTATTTTCTTTCCTTCTTTTTTTTTTTTTGAGACAGAATTTTTGCTCTTGTTGCCCAGGCTGAAGTGCAATGGTGCGATCTCGGCTCACCGCAACCTCTGCCTTCCGGGTTCAAACAATTGTCCTGCCTCAGCCTTCCTGAGTAGCTGGGATTACAGGCATGTGCCACCATGCCCGGCTAATTTTGTGTGTTTAGTACAGACAGGGTTTGTCTACGTTGGTCAGGCTGGTCTTGAACTCCCAACCTCAGGTGATCTACCCGCCTCGGCCTCCCAAAGTGCTGGGATTACAGGCATGAGCTACCACACCCAGCCTTCTAATGCCTATTTTCAAAGCATCTCAAAATCATACGCTATTCCAAAAGCATACCTGCAGTCTGTACATATGTTTGCTCTCTGGTCTTTGTTTAGTTGACAAATTCTAGTAAATGCAATACATTTTGCTATCTGGGCTGATTTTACTACAGGTAGTAGACTTTTTCTTAAGGAGAGTTTAAAATAGGGATAGCATAACCTACTAATAACATAGGGAACCAGAATATGCCAGCTCAATAATTTTGAGCTGATTATTTTGAAAAACAGTAAATGCAGGAAAAACTCGAAAAACAGGGCTCATCATTTCCACAGCTGCCTCTCCCCTCTTCCTTCCCTGCTGTGAAAGAACTATAAATTTCCTCTTTTTTTTTTTTTTTCTTTGAAACAGTCTCTCTCCGTCACCCAGGCTGGAGTACAGTGGTACAATCATGACTCACTGCAGCCTCCACCTCCAATGTTCTCCCACCTCATCCCCCTGAGTAGCTAAGACTATAGGAGCGTGCCACCATGCCTGGCTAGTTTTGTATATTTTGTAGAAAAAGAGTTTCACCCTTTTGCCCAGACTGGTCTCAAACTCCTAAACTCAAGCAATCTGCCTGCCTTGGTCTCCCAAAGGACTGGGATTACAGGCGTGAGCTACCACGCCTAGCCAAGATTCCCTTTTGTAAGAGAAATTTCCATTTATATTCCCATTTGTACAGATGTCTCCCTTTCCTGTGCCAGGAAGAGGAGGACTTAATCACGGAGGACTTATCAATGGAGAAGACAACCAACTTGAATTTGCTTAACGAACTTTACTAAACAACCCTTATATACTGTACACTTCCTAGTCCACTTGTCGCAACCTCCCCAGAAGCTCAAAACCCCTTTCCTATGTGCAGAGACAAAAGTGACTCCATCTTGAATGCGTTCACTATAAATCCCGCCTTTGAGATCGAAACAACCTTGACGTTATCATGCAAATTATGGGCTATGACAAACACAGCATTCTTGCCTGTTCTGAAGGGTTGCCTTTCATTGTCTCTATACCACACATACCCCTTTTCCCTGTGGTATATAAGCTGTGGGTCTGGGGAATAGCAGTGCTGACATTTACCTGTCTTGCTGCTGCCCAAGACGACACTTCCGTCTATAAGTTCCCCAGTAGAATAAAACACCCTTTACTGACAAACTGAATTTGTCTGCCTCATTCTTTAGTTTCTAGGCTCCTTCAGCATTTGGGGCCATTTCACATATGTGGCCCTTTCATGGAACACCGTCTTGTCACTTCTGCACAATTTTTTTTGTCAAAATGGCCTATAAGCTCTCAGGTTTAATTGCTTCTTTGAGTCTTCACTTCTTTTTTTATGAAGACTTCCATATTCATGTAGAATATTAATATTAAATTAAATTTTTATGCCTTTTCTCCTGTTAAATCTGTCTTTTGTCATTTTAATTTACAGAGCCCCCAGCCCTAGACTCTAGGAGGGTAAAGGAAGAATTGATTTTTCTTCCCTCAGTGTACTGACCTCAAGTGTCAATTTAGTGGTATGATCCATCAGTAAATCATATTAGGTCCGGGTTCTCAATAGGAGCAGTTAATAAATCTGACTGACATGCTGAACGTTCCCTGCTGAGGTAAGACAATCAAGAGGCTCCCCTTCTGGTAGGGACAGACGGTGGCAGGATTCAGTCTGCTGCAGAGATGAGTAGTAATGTGAGAGGGAGAGAGCGATAGAATCTTACAAGAGGTTAATCAGCTGCCTGAAATGTGCAGTGAGTTCTCAGTCAGGTGTAATGCCTGTGCAGGAGGTCAAGCAGGGAGCCTAGAACAAGTTCAGCAGAAGCAACAACAAATATGGCGTGGCATCTACTGCCCTAAGACAAGCGGGGCTATGCCTTTGCAACTGGGTCAAGGATAATGCTGCAGTAAGGGCTTTTGATGGTTCCCTATGAAGTGCAATTAAAACTCCACAGGCTTGTCTAGATTGCTATGCATAAATAGACAAAATGGCTTCCTGTAGTTTCAGGATTCCTAGGGCCAGGGGCTGTTGAAGAGCCTTATTACAGTTACAGAAGATCTGTTCACATCTGAACTGTGGTTCTGCAATCATCTTGCTGGGTGGAGGCCACTTTTGTGCAGCCACGCCCAGTGCCTTAGTGGGGTCCACCTGACTAACCCAAACCATCCCACCAGGCGCCTTTCGGGTAAGTCCTGTGCCTTATCTATGTCTGTATCCCACAGTTGAAAGAATGAATGAACACATTCTAACTTGACTATTCAAGATAATGAAAGTATTATTTAAGACTCAGAAAAATAAAATATAGGTGGGGGCTGGGGGAGTAAGCAAACTATAGGAGCCAAGAAAAAATTCCCCTTTCACCCTCCGAAGGTTCGCTGAAAATCAACTGACAAAAGACAGTTTAATAGGGAAAACTGCATACAATTTTATTTATCAGAGTTTTACACTGTAGCAGGACGAGCTGCAGACAAAACTCCTCAGACACGGGATTAAAGAAGGAAGAGGTTTTTTATTCGGCTGGGAGCATCAGCAGACTTGCGTTTTAAGAGCTGAGCTCCCCGAAAAAGACATACTTGGCCTTTTTAAAGGCTTACAACCTTAAGGAGTCCACGTGAAAGGGTCGTGATAAATCGAGCAAGCGTGGGAAACGTGACTGGGACCTACATGCATCAGCTAACAGAACAGAAAGTTTTACAATGCTTTTTTTTTCATACAGTGTCTGGAATTCACAGATAACACAAGCAGTTTAGGTCAGGGGTTGGTGTTATTATTATTACTTTTTTTAACTCCTAGGGCCGGGTGGTGGTGCCAAGGTTGTCTGGCTGTTTATCTTACTTTTGTTTCTTTGTCTCTTTCTTCCTGTCTTGTGAACTAGGCAAGGTCGGGGGGAGGAGGGCAGCAGGAGTAGTAGTGGTCTCCTTCCTTAACACAACACGGGGCACTTCAGAAGACCCAAAGATAGAGGGGAAAGTGGGCATTTTTACACTTAGGTATCAACAAAGTATGAACAGCTGTGTAGAAATGTGATTGGACAACAGGGGTGAGATCTAATGAAAATAGACTGAGTGGGGAAACCCAGCAAGGCCTCCCTGTCTAGATTCTTCTAGGCCTCCCTGAGCATTCGTTCTTTTTTCTAGGTATAGGGGGCAGGGCTTTCTCTAGAATGAGGATCTTATGACCTACAACCACACAACATAGGTCAGATAATTTCACCATGGCCACTTTTTACACAGAAAGGCTGAAACAATCTGAATACAGAGCACAAAGGGATATTTTGATAATTCTTACTCTACAGGTATCCAAATTGTTACTCAGCAAAAGAACAGGTCTCTTTCTAGGAGTGCATTCTGCTGCTAACAAATATGATATGCTTTGTATTTTTTACCCAAAAAGAATTTGAGATTCGGGATTTAAGTTTATCTTCAGTTTCTCTACTCAATTCCCACCTACCAGTGGTTCTGATCAGTAGATAAGAACAGCTCCATCCTCTCGATGACCCCAGAGCAGGGGAAGAGGGTGGGTGGGAAGTGGCCAGAACTGGGTGAGCTCACCCTAGAAGCCTCTTCCTCCTCCCTATTCAGTTACTCCCCGTTTCTTCTCCAGATCTGGGAAACCTTCCAGCTGGGGGCAGCAGGACAGCCTCCATTCCCCCCGACCCCACCTTCCACCCCCGGGAGAGGTACTGTTGGGAGAATGCCTTCCTAGAAAGAGACTTGGGTTTTGCTCCCTAGGAGCCCTGGAATAGCCTTGACCAGAATCCCACATCTCCCATCAGTACCTCTCCTAAGGAGAGGGCCTCCCTTTCCCGTGATCACCTTTTGCGTCCTTTGTTAACCTCCAAGTCTACTTGGTGAAAACGGCCCACGAAGGAGTAACAAGGACTTTGTCCCTAGTGTGTCAGGTTTGGGCACCAGTGCTGTAGTGGCTTTCTCTGCTGCTCCTTGTGCATCAGCAGACAGATGTGGTTTACATAGGAAGAAAGACTAATGTAGGCAAAGATTTGCTCTTTCTTCAGCAGCCCTGGAAAGACGGTGGCCTGGGTGATTCACCACTCCTTCCTCACGTCCTTGATTTTATTTCAACTGAGTTCGATATGCTCCTCCCATCCTTTTCCTCTTGGAAGCCAAACCTCTTTGTAATTTGTATAAGGTCCATACCCCAGGAGCTGAGTGACTGCAGAAACTGGCCTTCCATCTCTCTCAGACACCAAGCTGCAGATCCAGGTAAGCAGTCCAAGAGGTGTTCTCAGGTGCCGCTTCTGCTTCAGGGTTGGAGAGGAAGAAGCTAGGGCCAGTCCACAGCACTGAGAAAGCTTGGATGATGCTAGCGCTGAAAAAATGTGGCCCAGGCAAACATCAGCTGGAGGCAGAGGGGTCGGGGTGGAATGTGCAGGCTGCAGAGCATCCATGGAACTGGAAAAGAAGGAGCCCTCAAGTTGGGGGAAGCCAGCATTTCTCTTTGGAATACAATGGAATCCTTTATGATGCCAGTGTCAGGCACTGGCCTCAGTTCCCTTATGCTGTAAGACAACAAGACTCTGTCACCCATGGTCCTAGATGTTGGGGATACAATATGGTTCATGATGTATTCAAACTGATGTTTCGATGAGCCATTTGAGCACTGGACACAAATGTATTTTAGATCAAAGAAAGGCCAGTATTCAAAGATAGAAACTGACAGGATTTTAGGTCACTTCGTAGGTCACCACCTAAAGGGGAAAAAGACCTCGCTTTGGAGAGTGGCAATAAAACGCTTGTGGAGAAGCATACACGTGAGTGTCTCATTACACAAAAATCCTCAGGAAGTGGGACAGAAACTGTAAGCCAGGGAAGCCATAGGTGGGAGCTGGAGTTCTTTTTCTAAGAGGGCTCTTTTCCTTCTGTCTCCTTTTCTCAATTAGGCTTTTCCGGGAAAGTGAGGCCACCATGGCTCTTGATAAGTCTGTCATCCTGCTCCCTCTGCTTGTCCTGGTGCTGCTGGTGCTGGGCTGCCTGGGCAGGGAATCCCGGGCCAAGAAATTCCAGCGGCAGCACATGGACTCAGGCAGTTCCCCCAGCAGCAACTCCACCTACTGCAACCAAATGATGAAGCGCCGGAGTATGACACAGGGGCGGTGCAAACCAGTGAACACCTTTGTGCACGAGCCCCTGGTAGATGTCCAGAATGTCTGCTTCCAGGAAAAGGTCACCTGCAAGAACGGGCAGACCAACTGCTTCAAGAGCAAGTCCAGCATGCACATCACAGACTGCCGCCTGACAAACGGCTCCAGGTACCCCAACTGTGCATACCGGACCAGCCCGAAGGAGAGACGCATCATTGTGGCCTGTGAAGGGAGCCCATATGTGCCAGTCCACTTCGATGCTTCTGTGGAGGACTCAACCTAAGGTCAGAGCAGCGAGATACCCCACCTCCCTCAACCTCATCCTTTCCACAGCTGCCTCTTCCCTCTTCCTCCCCTGCTGTGAAAGAAGTAACTCCAGTTAGGGCTCCTAGTCAACACACTCATGCTTCCTTTTCCTGAGTCCCACCCCTGCGTGATTTTGGGGGTGAAGAGTGGGTTGTGAGGTGGGCCCCATGTTAACCCCTCCACTCTTTCTTTCAATAAAACACAGTTGCAAGCACTTGATTTCTGAAGCGGTTCTGTCTAGGTACTGTTTCTGGCATTGCCTTCCAGCAAGGGGTAAGAACCGTAAATCTGATTTGCTTTGGAGAACGGTGAATGAAGTAATGAAATGCTTTCCCTTCTGACTTGGATTTTAGTGGCTTGAGAAAATTCCTTTCCTTGTAGATTCCTTGATGCCAAACCTAAAACTATTAAGTGTGGGCTGTTCTAGACAAAAGGGAGCAACAGCCTGGGACACTGCCATGCATGACAGAGGGGTGAAGCTCAAATACAGTCATTCTGTGGCACAGAAGGAAGGTGAGTGCAACCTCAGGAAGACCCTGCTTAGCCTCAGGATGAGGAAGAGGAGTCAATGAAATGATGATCCTAAATTTCCATTTTCCCTTTTTTTTTTTTTTTTTTTTGAGTAAGCTATTACTAAACCAGAAAAATGGGCACCTCTTAGTTGGAAAGTCAGAATCTTACATTTTAGAGCTACAAGTGACTTTGGAGAGCATGGAATTGAGGGATAGCAAGTAGATTTCAGTTTGTGTACCAACTCGAATTGGAAGTGCCGGTCAGGCATGGTGGCTTACACCTGTAATCCCAGCATTTTGGGAGGCTGAGGCGGGTGGATCACCTGAGGTCAGGAGTTCGAGACCAGCCTGGCCAGCATGGTGAAACCCCATCTCTACTAAAAATACAAAAATTAGTGGGGCATGGTGGCAGGTGCCTGTAATCCAGCTACTAGGGAGGCTGCGGCAAGAGAATCACCTGAACCTGGGAGGCGGAGGTTGCAGTGAGCTGAGATGGTGCTGCTTCACTCCAGCCTGGGCAATAAGAGCAAAACTGTGTCTCAAAAAAAAAAAAAAAAAAAAGAAGTGCCTACCCAAAATGCTGTCGAAAAAAATTCTAGACAGTGATATGGTTGAACAAGAGCCTCTAATGAAGGCACAAGAGGGGGAAGGGTGTGTGTGCCACACATTTGCCATCCCTGACCAAATGTAACCCCTGCCTTTCCAGTGACTTTCACATGGCTTGTTGCTAGTTAGTGGTACAGCTGGAACTAGACCCTAGGTTTCCTGACTTCCAAGTCATTGTTCTAACTCAGGAAGAAAGCTCCCCTCCTCACTAAGTGCTGTGGAGCCGTGGCTCTCTCCCAGAGCTTGCTGCTGGGCTCTCACAGGCTCCCAGTGTACTTAGCCTGTGAGTTCACCCCATTCTTGGCAACCCTTCCTGACAGCCACTGAAAGACTACCTTTGCATCTGTCAACACTTAATCATTACATTTGATCCCCTGTTTACAGTGACATCTGGCTCCAGACAAGGTCACAGAACTAGAGAAAGGCCCTATTTTCAACCAACATGACGTTCTGTCCTTGTCGTTGTATACTACATCTATAAATGTTGGTAGAGGCTGTGATTTTCTAACGTAGAGTAAATCCTCAGCCCTGGGGGCTCTGCATAAGGAAGAAAACCTACAGGTGAGAAGGTCCATTCCCATACTTCAGTGGCAATGGGGATCTCACTCCTTATTAGCAGTGAGAAAGGAGGACAAAAAAAGAGGAAATTTCGAGTTTCTAAATATGTCTTCCTTAATCCATTTTTTTTTCTTAAGGTTATCTCACCCTTGTTCCTAGCCCCAAAGCTTCTCATTTTTCCTCCTGCTAATCTTACGAGAACACTTTAGTGAAGCTTTTACAAACACTCGCTTGGAGTTTTGCCTCCTCCATACCTGCACATTCACCAGCTCTGGCTTCCGGCTCCTCTCACCTTCCCTGCCATAGGACTCCTGGGGCCCCCCATCTGGGGCATAAAGCAGTAAGTGAAGATGAAGTGTCCAGGTGCACCCCTGCATAGCCAGGAAGGCTCTGGGGAGGCACGGAGCCCTGAATAGGAGGGCAGAGGGGGAAGAAACCAAGCCAGGTCTCGGAGAGGACTAGACACAATGAAAGAGAGAAGCACCCCCAAATAAAGTGGTGCTAACACTTTCTAGGAGATGAACTCCAGCGGGTGAATCTTAAAATCGAGGTGCTGACATATGAAAATGGATATCTGCATAAAGGCAAAAATGATCACATCCAGTCATTTTTCTGAAAAGGATACTGTTAGTTTTCAAAAGATTCTTCAAATAAGCTTAAGGAATTCTGCATTCTCAGTGGAGAGGTAAATATACTCCAGCAGATCAGCTTCTTCTTTTTTTTTTTTTTGGACGGACGGAGTCTCGCTCTGTCCCCAGGCTGTAGTGCAATGGCGTGATCTCGGCTCACTGCAACCTCCGCCTCCCGGGTTCAAGTGATTTTTCTGCCTCAGCCTCCCGAGTAGCTGGGATTGCAGGTGCATGCCCCCACACTCGGCTAATTTTTGTATTTTTAGTAGAGACAGGGTTTCACCATATTGATCAGGCTGGTCTCGAACTCCTGACCTTGCGATCCACCCACCTTGGCCTCCCAAAGTGCTGGGATTACAGGTGTGAGCCACTGCGCCTGGCCCAAACCAGCTCCTTCTTACCCTGGCAGCTGAAAGTGTACTCAGAAAATTAGAGGACCTTCTGCCTCTCTGACCTGCTGGTCCTCCCTCCACTCCGGCCTCTCTCTATGGTAAATTCCTCCTTCAATGCTAGTAGCAGATAGCCCCCCTCCTCCCAGCACTACCACACATCAAAACAGGTCAGTCGTCTACACCTGAAATGAGTTCAATTAAAAGAGTAACTGATCATTGCATAAGGTTCTTTCTTACTCCTCAATCAGTATTCTCACCCTGAACTTTCTCTAGACTTGGGAAAGGAAAGGTGGCTCCCAGCTCCCACTCTTGCCTCTTTAGACTGATTCAGACCTCATGGAGCACGTGGGAACGAACCGTAGGTGAGCTCTGAATCTCAACGCCCATCATGGGAAGCAGACTTTAATACTGCTTTTGGGATCCATCATGAAGGTGTCCCAGCCCTCCACATGCATGATTCATGATGCATGATGGAGCCTTAAATAGAAGGTACAGAATGAGTGTGCCTCCCGCAGACTAGCCACTGGCACACCTGGAAGCATATCAGAACAGTTTCCCAGTAGCCACTTTCTGGGGGACAAATTGCATAGTATCTCTGCAAATCATTCAATAATTTGCATGTCTTTTTTTTCTTGTGGCTTTCAGTAAGCATAGGTAGGAAGGTGTCTTCTCAGCATCCTCCGTCCATGAGTATCTTCCTTCCCATGCCCTTATTGTTGCTGCTACCACTGTTGCTGTCATCATCATCTTTTTTGAAATTGACTTTATTTTTTACAGCAGTTTTAGGCTTACAGCAACAATTGTGTTAGTAAGTAACAATAAAGAAGGAGTTGTTGATCTGAATGGCCAGTCACAGGGCATGTTTTACTAGAGAGCATGGTGGTGGTATTTCAAAGCTCATTACTCTCATATGCCATTCTCTAGTTTCTTCTTAGAAACAAGTATGGGAAGGGCCTATACTGAGGGTCATCTTCTTTCGCTTTCCACCTAAGAATGCATCAGGGTGGACAGTCGGCCAGGGTGCCTTGTTTAGTCCTAACTCTACGGTCAGCTCCCCATGTCCCTAAGGCAAATCTGTATCCCTCTCTGGACCACAGTTTCCTAATCCATAAAACCAGGGGGAAAGACTTGATAATCACAAAGTCCCCTTACACTTACGGCTTTCTTGATGAGTGTCCACTCTCTTTCTAGCAGTCCTGGGCAGCAGAATGCAGTTTCTGGCTAGGTAGGAGCAGGCATTTTTAGAAAAGTTTTGTCATTGAGATCTGATTTATTTCAGAGCTACCCTCTCAACACAAAGCCACATTTAGAGGTATGGATCACCCTGGAAGATGTCGGACACCCTTCTAGGACTCAGGCTCTTTAGACAGCCTCTGAGACTCAAAGCTGGCCGGTAGACCCCTCCAGGGCTCATTGGACTTATGGGCCCTGGGAGCTCATGAGGATTTTTGGCTTGGCTCAGAGCTCGCAGATGGGAGAGGCTGATGTGGATGTGAAACCAGGGCAGCAGCAGAGAACGGAGGAGTGGGGTCAGGCATTTCCTTGGCTTTACTGGAGGCACGCCTAATGAAGGTGGAGGGCTAGGCAACACCTCAGGACAGCATGTCTGATGGCCTTTCTTCCTCACTTCCCATTACTCTCCGGCAAACACCACCAAATAATTTAAGGGAAGGATTCTGAGATAAGGGGAGCTGGGGTCATAGTAATATAGAGAAAAATCTGTTTGCACGGGGACATGAGTGTGTATGCTCATGAGTAAATGTACGTGTGATCATGTCTGGAGATCTGTGGAATTAAGGAACATCAGGGTAGGAAGGACAAGAAGAGCCTTTTGTGATCTGACTCCAAAACCTTCATCTTAGAGATAAACAAACATAGGCGTGAAATCAAGAATGGAATAAAGAAACCCAGGTCTGTTGATTCCCAGAGTGTGTGCTTTTATGTCCTATCTCCAAATTTTCTCTGTTTAAATATATATATATCTTTTAATTGTCATACAGTAAAATTGACCTTTTGGTACACAATTATATAAATTTTAACACAGGTATATATTTGCATAACCAATACCACAATCAAAACACAGAACAAGGGTCTTTCCCTCTCGGAAGTCCCCTGTCTCTCACGAGAGAGAGCTGTTTTCCTTCCCCTTTTTCCCTCTTTCTTTTGCTTATTAAATCTCCGCTCCTAAAAAATAGTGCCCCAAAACACAGAACATTTCCTCACCCCAAAACTCTCCTCGCTATCTATCCCTTTATAGTAATTCTCTTCCCCAACCCTAACATGTGGCAACCACCAGTTTGTTCTCCTTCACTATAGTTTTGTATTTTCAAACTATCTTACAGATAGAATTGCCTAATAAGTAACCTTCCAAGACCGGCATGTTTTACTCACCATAATGCCTTTGAGTCATCCAAATTGTTGCATGTAGCAACAGGTCGTTCCTTTTCATTGCTGAGTAGTAGTACATCATTATATGAACGTTCCACAGATTTTTCTTTCTTTTACTTACCACTTAAGGAAGC